GTCTGTTTCTGTTTAAAAATATAAGTTGCAAAATCTCCACATTTAGCATCATAAAGTCCATCAGGATGAAAAGTGGTGGTAAAATTTTCCTTCATCTTTATTTATATTGTCTTTTGCAGGTATATTTTATTCATATCAGAATTTATAATATTATATATATATATATATATATATATATATATATATATAATGTCAATGCTTCAATTATTAGTAGTACAAGCTTCATTTTTGTCTTTTATTTCAGTTTTTTTCTCTTTCATCTTTATTCCTTTCATAAATATTAAGTTTTCTTTCTGCTTAATGTCATCCTGGAATGTCTTTATCTGACCCATTACCAACAAGTCTTCAAAGTGACACACTTTTTGAAGCAAATGTCACCAGGTGGGAAAAAAAGCCTCTGATAATTCAGCCGTGACATTATATTATTTGTTCTCTATCATCACCTACATAAGTAATTGTGGATTTATTTTTTACCTTTAGTAGATGAATTGTTTTTTTTATTTATGTAATCTAATAGCAGATCAAAGAAGAATTATATATTAAGGCTAAAACCAAGGTCAGTGTTTGAGAGTATTATATTGCAAAATGCTCTTTATAATTTTTTTTTCTCAATAATATCAATAACCCTTGACAATCTTTTAATCCTTTGGTTACTGTACCACAAAAATATGCAGTACTTTTAAGTTACTACATATTTACCGATGTTCATAATTTTTTACGCATATGACCTCTGACCCTATTATTTACCATCTCCCTCTTTGTCAGATACACTCTTTCATTTTAATTTCTGTCTACATAAAAAAAAATGACTTTTTTTTTCTTTTTTTTTTAATCTTCGCCCCATGCAAGGCAATAAAGCCAACACAAGGGGTTACTGAGTGTGAGGAGAAAAATAAAAAACACTATTAAGGAGAGAGATACGATAAAAGAACAGGAATTAAGAAGACAGAGGATAATGATTGATATTGCATTTAAATTTTTGAACATCAAAGTTGATTGGAAAGCAAGAAACTAGAAGAGAGTTCTGCAAGCAACAAGTGAAGAGAGAAGGAACTGTTAACAAAGAACTTACAATTGTATCTAACCATTTCAACTGTAAAATGATGAAACATTGTTGCCAATGAAGTATTGCAATTAAATTCATAATGACAATGTACCAAAAAGGAAAGCGATATTTATTCTGTTTAATACAGAAATGTGGCACAAGGCCGAAAAGGGGATTGGGGAAAGAACGGTCTTCTTCTGTCTTAACTATAACTTAGCTAGCCGCAAACACTGACCCAATCTTACGAAACAATATTCCTTACACCAAAACAACACATTCATTCGTACCTTTCTTACTACAACCACCATAATACCTCTTTGTCTCTATGAAAATACTAACTAGTCCCCATATTACAATTCGTTGTCTGTGGGGGGAAGGGAATAAAACAACAATTCTAAAAGTTAACCCCAATGAGTAAAAGGAAAGCTCATCAGAGCAATTACCATGAAAATATTTATAGAAAACATTCAAGGAAGGTAACTTACAGGTTTAATGTGAAACAAGAGTTACAGCTGAATAATAGCAACAATAATCATATATATATATATATATATATATATATATATATATATATATTATTAAAATTTCTCAGAATAATTCTGAAGATAAGACAATTGGATAAAAAAAGACAATTGGAAAATAGTTCTTAATTCTTGCCGACACATTTCATCATCTGACTTTAAAAGTTACCAATATTTAGAAAGAGGCTTGCATAGGAACGTGTTTTTTTTTTTTTCTTTTAATTTTTGAATTTGATGTAACGACACAACATTTTGGTTTTATTTATCATCACTTACCCTGATAAAGTTGAATGATGAAATGCATCAGCAAGGACTAAGAACTATTTTCCAGTTGTCTTTTTTATATATATATATATATATGCATAAAAATATTTTCTGTGAAAATTTCTCAGACATTCAGGCCGGTAAATGTTGTTTAATACTGTTTATTATAAACAGAGCATTTACTTAAATATTTGTATCTATAAAAGAATGTATAAACATAAAATGTCTTAAAATAATTGTTTGACTTTGTCCATTTCATAATGTGTGACGTCATTTGTTTACATTTGATACGCCATGAGCAGATATGAATGTACGTGAGAGATTCATGGAAGATTGAAGTTTAAATACAGTAAATTCGACCTTGATAACCGAACGCGCCTCTGTGGCCAAATCGGTAAAGGCACGTCAAGCTAAATGACGGTTCCGTATAGGGTACAGGTTCGAATCCTGTCAGAGGACGAATATTTTCTGTGAAAATTTCTCAGACATTCAGGCCAGTAAATGTTGTTTAATACTGTTTATTATAAACAGAGCATTTACTTAAATATTTGTATCTGTAAAAAGAATGTATAAACATAAAATGTCTTAAAATAATTGTCAGATTTGTCCATTTCTATATATATATATATATATATATATATATATATATATATATATATATATATACACATACATACATATTGTAGGTGAGTTATAACTCTGTATAAATAATTATAAACCTCCTAACACTTAAATATACAAAAATACTCATAAAAATGTGAAACAGACATGGAAACAGCAAAATGAGTATTATCTGGTTGTTATTTGGTGTTGGAGATATGAAAGACATTAATACGGAGTAAAATTGTGAGTTTGAGATCAAATATGAATTGGAATCTGACACAAGGATAAGATAAATAATAAACAAAGTGTTATCAATCTTTCTCGTATAATTTTTTATAGATGTGTGTGTATATGAGTGCCCAGATAACTTAGTTGGAAAAATATAAGAAGTGTCTGGGCTTTTCTTAGCTTGAATTTTTGTTGAGTCCCGAAAGATAAATGTTACTATTATGGCCTGAAAAAGGAAAAAAGAAATTTTTATTGATGCACATGTTAATGACCTGGCTGCGTGAACTGCTTTTCCAATAATGAGAATGTCACATGTTTGCATGTGTACAGGAGAAAAGTGAGGTCAATTCTCATTGGTTTAGAATGAGTAAATTAATGATAGTTAAAATTGTTATAATTATTTTATTGTAATTATTTTTGACACTATAATTAATTTTTATTTATTTTTTTTTATGGACACAACACCATGACAGCATAATTATTTCTTTTTTTATTTATATATTTCTTTATGGGCACCACAATATACGTATATACATATATATACATTGTGGAGTCATAGATTGTTTTTAGATATGTACATGAAATAAATTTTGAAATAAAGGAAAGTAAAAGGTGAAAATATTTTTGGCAGATACTAATAGTTAATAATAATCTAGTACTAAGCTTAAATTAGTAAAGTCCAGTTACCAAAGAGGAATGCTCTTCAGAATAATTACCATGAAAATATTTATAGAAAAATCACAGGGATGCAGTGGGAAATTGGTTGAAGCTGAGATGCCAGCTCATGACTGATAACAATGCAGATTTTTCTTTGTATTCTATCTAGAATCTCTAAATATACAAAATAAAGCACCAGACCAGATGTGGCTGCAATATTTGAACGGTAGACTTATAAATGTGTAGGATAGATTCTGGTGAGAAAAGTTATCTAGCATGACACAGTGAACCAATTTCCCTAGCAGCAGACCTACCAATTGATTCAATATAATCTTTCCACTTCATGTCAGTAGAAAATGTTAGCCCAAGAAAGCACAATGATCTGGAGGCTAGCATCAGCCATACTGATGAAAGCCAAAAAAGGTTCTCTGAGGTAGTAAAAGAGAGCAGTTTTGTTTTGTAGATGTTAAAATTCACAAACCCTTTTTTTCCCCAAAACTTAACAACATTATAGGTTATTTTTTAAATCAGCAGTTATTTTGATCACATAGAACTTACCATTAAGACAGGAGTAAATAGCTTATCAGTATAGATACAGAGTTGAAAACTGATGACATTAGGAAGGTAGTTGATGAAAACTAAGAACAATGCAGGTCAAAGGATAGAGCCCTGGGGGATACCTGCATTAATAGAAAAGGATCTAGAAGAGTGGCCATTCAAAACAACATTCATTTTGCAATTTAAGAAAGATTGAATCAAATCAAAAATTCATCCAGAAATGCCATAACCTTTCAACTTGTGAAGAATACCAGCATACCAAACCCTATCCATTGCCTTTGAGATATCCAAAGCAACAGCCCAAGCTTCTCCATTCATATTTAAAGCTTGATAGGCTCTTTCAGCAATAACCGTTAACACATCAGCAGTTGAGCTAGAGAAGGAAAAGCCATATTGATTTTGTGAAAGAATATACTGTAAGATAGGATGTGTAAACAATTTGAAGTTCATTAGAGATTCTAGGACTTTGCCAAAAAGAAGTTTTTATCTTGTATGGTGAATACTTTAGTGGGGATTCCAAAATAATTGGTCTCTGTTGTTTGGATTTTTGAGATGCAGAATTATCATTATATTCCGATGACATGCCCATTCTCTTGTTATCCTTCTGCTGTCCATTTTAAAAGATACCTTGCCTTGTCTTACATGTCGAACCAGAGTATTTGACTTTGCGATTTTCTACCACAACTTGAAAGCTTCATTACTGAAACCCAGTCCCAGCTACGAGTTAATTAGTTGTATTAGTAAATCATTATTATTCCACAATTTTTTAAAATCTAAAAGTATTTTCTGACTTTATATACCCTGCAAAAGGTTGATAAGCCATCAAAAACAAATCAATCGATCGATATAATAACCAACTTAGGCAATAAAAATTTTTTATGAGCTGATTTGTAGTTTCAACTGAAGTTTTAACATTGTGTTTTCACATTGAAAGTATTATTGTGAATAAACTTGTTGTTGACACCTGCAGATGAAAATTTATCAGATAATACTAAGCATAAGATAACTTATAGTTGGCAGCATACTAAAAACAGCCAACCATGAGTTATCTTGCGGCTGGCTGTCAACATGTTAACTAAATGTTCCTTCTTGATATTCATGAAATTCTTTTCTTTTCTTTGCAGAGACTGAGAACAGAAAACCGACTGTTACGACAGCGGATTGAAAACTTAGAGAAGGTCAGTATCATTTCTCTTTTTCTCATCATATCACCCCCCAAGCAAGGCAATAAAGCCACTAAGACACAAGCAGTTACTAAGTGTGAAAGAAAAATTAAAAAGATAAACATTAGGGAGTGAGAAGAATAGAGGAGTAATCAAGACAGTAGATAACGATTGACATTGCATTTAAATTTTTGAAGATCAAAGTTGGCTGGAAAGCAAGAAAAAAGTTCCACAAGTGAGAATAAGTTTGTATAAAGAAACTGTTAGCATAGAACTTACAGCTAGATCTAGCCAATTCAACTGAGAAGTGATGAGACCTTACCACCAATCTAGTATTGTGCTTAAAGTCTAGGTAGCATAGCAAAGAGCTTATCCGAACCATGAAAATATTTATAGAAAACAATCAAGGAAGGTACCTTACGGGTTTAATGTGAAACAAGAGTTACAGCTGCATAATAGCAACAATAATCATATATATATATATATATATGTATTGTTAAATTTCTCAGAATAATTCTGAGAAATATTATATTAGCTATTATTCAGCTGTAAATCTTGTTTCACATTAAACCTGTAAGGTACCTTCCTTGATTGTTTTCCATGAAAGTATTTATAGAAAAGGCACAAGGAAGCTACATTACAGCAGTGGGAACATGACTGAAGCTGAGATGCCAGGTCAGGACCAATAATATTACTGATTCTTCTTTGAATTTTATCAAGAAACTCTAAATATATAGCAGAAGCACCAGACTAGATGTGGCAACAATATTCAAAGCATGGAAGAATGGTAGACTTATAAATCTGCAAAATAGATTCTGAAGAGAAAAATTGTTTAGCACAACACAATGAACCAACTTTCTTAGCGGCAAACCTAGCAATGGATTCAATATGTATTAAACCAAGAAGGCGCAACGAGTCATATTTGGTAGAGTTTATAATTGTTATGACATGAAATAATGATCAGTATTGAAATAGAGTGAGCATAACTACTCCACTGTTTTGTTAATTGTACAGAAATCATTATGGTACCATATTCCATGTTGGAAAGAGAATCATAGTTTCTTTCATCCTTGTTGCAAAAAAAAAAAGTGATTACAGACTATTGTCAAGTACCCTGGGTACATCCAGATAAACGAACTACCTACTTTACAGCACAATTATAAATGTGTAATTTATCTTGTACCATTTTCACATTCTAAGGTTCACATTTTGTACCCAGAGTATAAGATGGCCCCCTATTCTGGGGGGAACTTTTTACGGTTAAACAGTCACGTTGTATGCTGAGATATATATATATATATATATACTTACTTCATATCTGTGTTCGGTAAAGTGTAAAATTGGCCAAAGTAGACAAAATTATGCAAAACTAAAAAAAGCTACATCAAAAATTGATATGTATATAAAAAAAGATGCATCAAAATCTAAATGGGGGCCCCTTTCTAGGGGCCTCATCAAATTTAAATGACTCACTTCAATGAGAGGGGGCACAAATACTCTAAATTGTTTCAAATTGGTCCAAAGGAGTATAATTAAATCTGAAAATAAACAAATTTCCTCTGATCTTACATCATTATTTTATAGTTTTATCTGGGGCTCCAAGACTTGAGGACCCTTAGGAACCCCTGGGCTGCATCCCATTCTAGTCTATATGTATATATGGCACTGGTTAAAGACTATTGTCAAGTACCCTGGGTATATCCAGACAAACAAACTACCTACTTTACAGCACAATTTTAAATGTGTAACTTGTCCCATTTTTGCATTCTATGCATCACTCTTCCATATGTAGATTCAGACACAAGAGCCACTCAAGGTAGAGGGTTACTGAATGAGCTTGCAGATTGAGGATATGTAAGATAGATAATGATTGACCCTATATTTGAAGAGGCTCAGATTCTAGTTATCTGGGAAGCATCTTCTCGGGAGTCTGCTTCACAAAGTAGCCATTCTTAGGAAGAAAAGGGTTGTAGGATAGAAAATAACTCATCACCCACAAAGGCAAAAAAGAATCTGGTTTAGAAATGCATCTTTGCTGCATTTGAACATTTGCATTTTTTTTTTCTTTTTTAATTTGTACATTTTCTTTTTGATGTTTTTTATTTCTATTTTTTTTATTCCAGGAATCTGCCTCTCTAGCCGATCGTCTGATTCAAGACCAGGTGACAAGAGCCCAAGAAGCAGAGGAAACGTTTATGCTAAAGAATCAGTTTGCATCTAATAAACAGCAGTTGGCAGAAACGCAAAGAAAACTGCAAGAAGCTGATGAGCTCATCCTTGAGATCAAAGAACGAGTAAGTTTCTTATGTGTTCAAATTCTTTCAACAGCAGAAACAATTAAAATGAATATCCAGAAAGGAAAATAATGATATAACAAAACTGTTAGCATTCCACACTACTTTTAACAAAAGGTTTGGAAGGAAATTCCCATTGGTACTAGAAAGATCAATAACAATGGACCATTTTCCTGAAAACCTGTTTTAAGAATTTTCTGACCTTAAGCTGACTAGTCCCAGATATAGCCTTGGTCACGTTGCTAAATACCCTCTTATCACTTCACCAACTGCAATCTGGTTACTAGCATAAGGCAGAACTGTCCTTTGATCCCTGGCCAAAGAGATCTTCTCAATGTCAAAGTTGGATCTGCTGGATCACAAGGAATTAAGTACATTGTGTGTCACCCCAAGCAAGGCAGGAAGCCACTATGACGCAAGGGGTTACAGAAAATTTAGAACAAGATCAGATAGGAGTGATAGAAGAAAGGATGAAGAGAAGGATAGTGGATACATCAAAGCAACTGGAGGTGTCGATTGTACATTTGAATAGCTGGAGATTATAGCTCTCAGGGAAACTAGAATAGGGAAGGGAGTTCCACAGGCAAGAGGTGCGAGACATGAAGCTATTGGAATAGAAGAGACGGCTACATTTAGGAGTTTCGACAGTGAAGGAGTGAGAGCGGGATGCCAGCCTCATCAGGCGCTTGAACTCATGAAGTCTGGGAAAAAAACAGACAGAGAGAGGCGACGGCGCGTCTGTGAGAAAGTGTCTGTAGACGAGATGCCAGATCAGGGCCAATTATATTGCATATCTGCCTCTGGAGCCTATCAAGTATCCCGAGGCAAATAGAAGGGGCTCCAGACCATATATGGCAGCAGTACTCCATGCAAGGGCGAATTGTTGATTTGTAGATCTGGAGGATTGATTCCAGGGAGAAAAATTTCCTGGCGCGGCACAGGAGCCAACTTTCCTTGCTGTGGACGAAGCAAGGAAAGTTGGGTCCCTGTTACTAAAGTAACAAAATTGCGCCGTGATAAATTTTAATGGATCATCTATGAATGTCATCTCAGGTTTCCTCAGATGCCGAAATCAAGAAAGAATGACACAACACCGGATTTGATGATTAAAAGATGGAATAAAAGAAAATCTGAAGTTTTATTTTCCTTAAGCTAGACATTACAGCAACAATCTTTTAAAAGTTAATGAATCAATAAAATGCTTGGAGATAGTTCAGAAATAAAATATTAACAATTAAATTCTTTAGTATTAGTTCCCTTTTGGTTCCATGAGAAAGAAAAAAATAAAGTCTTGCCAAACTTCCCAAATTATTGTAAGTTCATTCACAAGAGAAACAGCTCAAAATTAGCAATCAGCAACAACAGTTGTTCTGGTTTGAGCTGAGTTAAGTAGCCGCAGTTCTGTTCGTGATGAAACTGTAATCTCTCCTCCTCTCTGATAACTAGTGTCTTGGCGACTGCTATTAGCTGTTTATATAAAAATTAACATTTTTCTGGAGAAGAGCACATTGAGGGTTGATTCGCACATGTTGAAAAATATTATTACAATATTAGATTTCATCCTCCTGCTTCCTAACCAATACACAGTAGGGATTCTGCTTTTACATGCCTAAGAATTTCACAGTAAGATTAACTGGTTTTGCCCAACAGTTCTCAGCATAGTGTTTCTCTATTTCTCCCTTTTCTTTCCTTCCTGCTGTTGTTTTCTTTGGAAATAGGTGTCAGAAAGATTTTTTCTACACTGTTCAAAACCTTTTAACCTCAATTCTCGATAGGAGTATATTTATTACCTGAAGATTTAGATAACAGAACAAACTCCAATTACTAATTGCACATACATACATTCCATATGTGTTAACATTATATTTTCCTTTGTTCAAATTAACAAATCGAGTTTTGAATCATGAAGGAAACTTACATTTTCAAAATTATTGTTCCTTTCTGCTTTTAACTACACTTCATACTGGTACAATTTTATAAATTTCAACTAACTGATGGCTAATTTCATAAAAATATTGTCTGGTAAATATGTACATGTATATATTTCATATTTTATAATATTATTTTAATGGATACTCATGTTGGATATCGGTTGAGGAAAGACCCTTGGCCTTACTTCTGCTGCATCATTGTGTGAGCAGAAATTAGAACTGGTGATAGCATAAATAGGAAATACATCCGGTGGCTAAAATAAACAGGGCACACAGTTGTCCTGAGCCTTGAATAAACAGGGCACACAGGTGTCCTGAGCCTTGAATAAACAGGGCACACAGGTGTCCTGAGCGGAAGGAAATGCATGTTTGTGTGGGTGCATGCTGAAAGAGCCATGGCCACATGAAGTTGTGTAGGCAACATAGTGGAAGAAGACATAGCCAAGTGAAGTTGTGTAGGTGTCCAAATGTTATATAACTGATCCAATTCTTGATCTGGACATAAAGGCTGACTAGAGGTTCACTGAAGATTTGTCTCCGTCAATGCCTGTGTGCGCAATCGTAACCTCTTTGATTCTCCTTCACTCTAACCATTTGTCGCAACTCGAACAATAAAGATATTTATATAGTTTTATATATAAGTGGATGTCGCCTTATTTGAGCCCAGCAGCAATATACTACACTCATAGTTAAGTAGACACTGTTTATGTATTAACTGATATATTTATTTATTTTCGTCTGCTGGCCTTGAATATTCAAGTAATCTTATTAAAGGAAAATATGCCCTCTCTGACAGGGTTCGAACTTGTGCCCCACTCCCCCTCACCAGCAGAACAATCGTTAGATCTGACATCATTTCACCGACTTGGCCATGAAGGACATTTACTGATTTAGCAAGGCTGAATAGTGCCTTTAAGCAAAATCTTTTCTCAATAATATTTATAGAAAAGACAAAGGGAAGTGACTGAAGTCAAGATGCCAGGTCAGGACATATAACTTTGCAGATACTTCTTGGGATTTTGTCGGGAATCTCAAGGCATATGACAAGAACTCCAGATCAGATATGGTAGCAATATTCAATGCACAGACAAATGGTCCTCATTTCAATAGTAAACAATGAGAACTAGTTGCTAATCTAGTCATACGCTTAAATTCATGTGGTTTAGGTACCAAGGCAGAGAGCTCATTAGAACAACTGCCATGAAAATATTTATTGAAAAAGACACAGGGAAGCCACATCATGTTAGTGGGAAAGTGACCAATTACATTAAATAGACCCCTTTTTTCAGATTTTGTCAAGAATCTCATGATATATAGCAGGAACATCAGATCAGATGTGGCAGCAATATTCGATGCCTGGAGGAATTGTAGATTTATAAATGTGTAAGATGGATTCTGATGAGAAAAATCAAAGAATTATTAAACAATAAATGCAAAGGGTAATTTTTATGATCAAAGTATTTTTTTTTCATGTGGAAGACTTATTTAGTAAAGATGGAGAAGATAAAGAATTAAAATATAAGAAGACTATAGGGAACCACCTTCATTCCGTTCATATTCCTTTGATGAGATGCAAGTTCCACTCGAGCAGCTATTTCCCATGAACAGCTGCTTTGTAGAACCGACTCCCAAGTGGATGCTTTCCCAATCACTACAATTTTCCTGTTTAAGTCTAGGGTCATCCATTATCTTCCCCACATATGACTATAAATTGTCTCTCTTACTCTGTAACCGTCTACCTACTTTTTGAAACTGACTCCCAAGAGGATGCTTTCCCAATCACTATAATCTTAATCTTTTCAAGACTAGGATTAACCATTATCTTCCGCATACACCCACTTGCCTCTTATTTTGTAACACTTTACCAGCTTTGTGGAACTGGCTCCCAATGGGAGGCTTTTCTGGTCACTGCAATTTTAACCTGCTTAAGTCTAAGGTTAACTGTTATCTTTCCCACATATCTGCATAAACTGTGCCTCTTACTCTATAACCTTTTACCTGCTTTGTAGAACTGATTCCCAAGAGGATGCTTTCCCAATCACTACCATCTTAACCTGTTCATCTAGGGTTAACCATTATCTTTCCCACATATCCGCGTAAACTGTGCCTTTTCGTCTGTAACCCTCTACTTTGAGTGCCTTGTACAGAGTGAACATGAATATAAAGAAAAAAATATGAACATAGACTTAGTTTTAAGATTGAAATACTCATCTACAAAAATTATTTCGAAAAATATTCTCCCCTCTTTTTTGTGAATGGACCCATTTACTTAAGTAGTGCCCCAAAATCACACACACACCAATATATACTAGTTCTGGAATATAAATACTGTTGACTGACCTGTGGAGTATTGAGCCACAACCTCACCCTGCAGTGAGCTTATAGCTATATAAAATTGAAACACTGGTTCTCGTATGATCACCAGGTAAGCAACATCAAGCCTGGTCAGTACCTAGATGGGTGACCGCTTGGGAATACCAAGTATTGTAAACTTGGATATGCTGGATAACGCCTCAGAATTTGGAAAGCCGATTTCCAATTCCAGTCAGTTTTATTACATTCCCTTATGCGCAAATACCCTTGGGAAAGGCATGAATCCACCGCTTCTTAACCTCCCTCATCCCTGGCTATTATCACTAAAAAGAAAGTCTTACAATCTAAAAATATTTTCTGGCTTTAAATAAGCTACAAAAGTTGATAATCCGTATAAAAGAAAATTAAAAAAAACAAATCTAGTAATCAATAAAATGTGTTTTTAAAGACCTGAAAAAAATAAAAATCAGTATTTTGACATTTGGTTATTGAAACATTGATTTTGTGTGGTGAGTCAGGACTTTGTAACTTTGTCATCTCACCCTTATATTGCAACATTCAAAAGTGAACTTTTTTTTTATTTGTAAGACTATCATCAGATTTAAATCTGTCTAGACATGAACAACTAAAAGTGATTTAGATAATTACTTATGGACAGTTATTGATATCTACTTAGCCCAGATTAGTATAAAACAAGGTAAAAGTTTTAAATAATAAAATCTCCAAATATTTCTCAATCAGCATAAATACACATGTGCGTATGTCTGCAGGAGGTGATTGTGTGCAATACTACAGGTTGATTCAAGCCATGTGAGTAAAATTGGGTTTCTGGTACTGTTTGGAACCTGTTGATGCTAGCACAAACTCAGAAGTCATCATGACTGAATGTGTTAGTGTGCTGGCCTTCTTCAAGCTGCTAATCATACCATATTATACATTCTCTCCCAGCAACTAAGGTCTGCTCAACACAGTTGAAATATAAACTATAGGTGGGCTCAGTGGATGTTCTTCTACAAACAGATGTGCCTGAGCAAGTGTCTGCAAACAGGAAATGGCTAGCCACCCTACCTGTCGAAAGTAGTTGACCATTATTTTATATGTATGTAGTTATGCATATGTATGATAGGATAAAGAACAAATAGGAAACATTTATCAATCTAACATGTTTCACTTTTATTAAAACTTCATCAGAGAATGTGATATGGAGAAAAAGGAAGAAAATTCTACTATTTTTACTTGTGTGATGTTTGAGTTTCATTCATTAATCAGGTTTCACATACTTTTGACTTGTTAAAACAAGTATTATTATAATTTGTGGCATTCCAAATTCAACAAGTCGAATGTACGGGCAAACTTATTAACCAAGAAAAAGTATTAACAATTTAATATGAAAGTACACATCCACATATATTTCTTTCATTCTGATCTGATAAAGCCTACTTAAAGATGGTGAAACATGTGATGAAATCAGTAAAACAATTTTCCAATTTTTTTTTAAATCAGTTTTACTCCATGCAAGGTGGTAAAACCACTAAGACACAGGGGTTTACAGGCTGTGGAGGAATTAGAAACAGAAACATTAATAATGAGTAAGAAGAGGAAAAGAGTAATCAGGAGGACAGTAGATAGTGATTGACATTGCACTTAAATTTTTGCAGATTAAAGTTGGCTAGAAAGCATGTAGCCAGAAGGGAGTTCCACAAGTGAGAAGTGCGAGAAAAGAAACTATTAGCAAAGAATTTATGGCTACATCTTTGTCAAATTTATAAAAAAACTTTGTCTGGATTCTATATCCTATTTATACATATAATAAATTGGAACTTCTAAAAAATTCACAAAACTAAATTTGGAATAAACTATCTGTGGCAAATGCTTATAAATATTCACATTTCTTCAAGAAAATATTCAAATATTCATGTATATCTCTGACCACTCGTATTCGAGGATACTTGTCTACTAGGATGGCTAAGCAATCCCTGTTGCAGACTCACACAGGCACATTTGTATTTGTTCAACACCTACAGATCCAACCTGTGGTTTATACTGCAACTATGCTGAGCAGACGTTAATTCCAGTTTCTGGGAGAGAGCGTATTATGTAGAATGAGCAACACCAGCACACTCAAACCCATGGTCACGATGATATGTGACTTCATGCTAGCACGGCTATCAACAGCCCCAAGTGTTCCATCTACCCAATTTCACTCACAAGGCATGGGTCAACTTGTGGTATGGTTTTCAGGCACTTTCCAAAGGTGCTACACATTGGTATCGTGCCCCTCTGACGACATCAGGAAGACTCCTTCCTGACAAATTGACCATGTTGAGGTTCGAACACAGGTCTCATGGTCAGAAAACAAATATTCTAACTACTCAGCCATTTGCCCATAATATATATATATATATATATATATATATTAAAGAAAAACAGACAACTTTAAGGTTCCATTATAATAATTTATTTCACCAGAGCCCTTTTAAAGGACTCTGGATCATCAGATAGCACTTCCAAAAATGAGATGAAAAATGAAATGAAAATTGATGGGTAGTGTAAGTTTTGTAATTTAACAGAGAGTGTAATAGGGGTAGTTAGAGAGACATGGTAGAGTTTAGGGATGGTTTAATTTAATATCTCTCTCAATCATACTTAGTACTGGGGAGGAGGATTGACCAGACCTTGACCTATTTAAATGGTTAACATAACGGAAGTGATATATTGAAATGGGAGGGGAGAAAAGAAAAAGGGAAAAAAAAGTAGAGGGAAGTAAAGAGAAAGAGGCTGTAAATGGGTTTTACATATTGAGGGGATGGTTGGTAAGTTTTAGCAATTTATGTAAAAAAAAGATTTTAATGTTTGATAGTAATTTAGATATCAAAAAAAAAAAAAACCCTAAGAAATTAATTTGATGCTTGCTAACAATTTAAACATTTAATTTTTTTACAAATAATTTAGGGATTTAATATAAGTCAAATACTGTATTTATTAAAATATTCATAGAGAACATAATAAAAAAAATTTTAAACTATAACAGTTTGTGTACCGACCAATAGTACTCTTTTAATATTGCAAAAGACACTTACAGTAATATCTTTATCAGTTTGAATCTAATTTATGAATGTAATTTGTAATTATTTTTAGATGGGTAATCTTTCTTACTTAAAGTTTAGGTTTTGAATTAAGATGGAGTAATAGTTGAAGGTAATATTAAAGATTTTGTTTTTTTCTTATATATACAATATATACTTATGCAAATCCTACATATACATACATTCATTTACATGTGCAATTACACACATAGGGACACACATGTATCGATATACCCAGGTACCTATACATATTCATACATAAATTACATACACATACATTTACAAATAATTACATATATTTATATTTAAATTTTTTCTTTAAATTCACAGTTAATGTTTAACGTTAGGTGATGACTTAAGTGTTTAAATACCCAAACAAATATTTCTAATTTAATATTTTAAATATTGATAGTTAAAGATTGATATATTTAAATTTGAATTAAATTATCAATTTAAAATGAAAATACCTCCCGATGATAAGTATTTAATCTCACAATTCTAATTAGAGAATATTAAAAGAGAAAGTAAGATTAAATATTAGTAAAAGTAATATTAAAACTTCAATAAAATGACATTATGTCCTTCCATTGGAATCCTTTCTATACATATATAATATTTATAAATAAGTATATAAAAAAAAGATCTGTACCAATAAACATCCACACATGCATATGTATTTATATTATTATATTTTACATATATTCACACATATTACAAATATTAACTCAAATATTTACATCTATATACAGACCACATGCAGACATTATATATATATATATATATAAATACCTAGCTAAGCTTACACATGCACCCATGCTTATCCAAAATGCCCATACATGCATACATAAAATCACATATCCATGTCCAAGTTCATCTACACTTTTGTATACATATGATTATGCATCTGCATTCATGTGTTCATACATTCATTTCAAAACCAATTATAATATTTTCCTTTCTCTATAGTTATTTCTAAATATATTTAGTTAGATTGAGGTGGTTTTTATGTCTACATTTAAAAATTAACTCGTTATGTTTGTTCAGTAATATGTCCGGATCTTTATGCCTTATTATTAGGATCTTCTCTTTTATGCACAAGTCACATCGGTCTCTGAAATTTATTGGAGTTTTAGCCCTCGAAACGATTTTCTATTTTACTTGTGAGGTTAAGTTGCTCTCCGACAAATCCCAATAATGTTTTGACAGTGCTGTTTGGTGTTTTTTAGATTTATTTGTGAAGGACTGGCGATGTTTATAAAAACGTTGCTTCCAATTTCCCACCGATATTCCTATGTATATCTTCTTCTGTTTAATATCTTCCTTGGGGAAAATTGTAGCTTCGTATATTACGTTTTCTGTCATGCATATTCCCTCTACTGGACAAACAGATCCTTCCCTGCAATTACAGGTAGATGTGTTCTTTTAGTTTGCATTCTTTTTGTTCTTTTGCATTCTTTTTGTAGTTGATTATTATGAAATTCTCTTAAGATTTTGCTATTGTGAGAGCTAATAATTTTTTCTACATTGCTCATGCAGGAATAACTAAATTTTAAATTCATTTTGTTGAACATCCTTTTCAATAGTTCATCTTTTCTAAAAATGTTTGTCTATTAGTTTAAGGAAGTATTTCCCTAAATTAATATCCGAAAGTCTACAGAAAGACGGGTTGAACCATATAATCTTCCTTTTCCTATTTTTGGACTTAGTGAATGTGTTATTAATTGATTTATCTATATAATTTAGTGTTTGTTTAAATTTACTTTTTTAATAGGGCTTGATTGTATGTCGATTTATTTTGGTTAAAATATATATATTATATATATATATATATATATATAAGATTTGAAATTGTTTTTTTTTTTTTTTTTGCTATTAGCAAAAAAATAATGCCTGGTATTTTGAAAAATAAAAAATATCTATAAGAACTTATATATCTTACTGTTCTTTCTTTTATTTATTATATATATATATATATATATATATATATATATATATATATATATATATATATGAAGAATTGTCAAAAAACAAAAACAAGAGGTGGTTCCATGCTGTTCAAAACCTCCACTCTCCCAATCAGAAGCCTTGCTT